GCGTTCTCTCGCCTGGGCAAGCAGCACCACGGGGTGGTGGGAATCGCTCCGCCCACCCACACCAACATGTGGAGGAGGAGGAGGAGGAGGAGGAGGAGGAGGAGGAGGGGTAATTAGGGGAGAGGGAGTAGATAGATGCTCTGAGTAGGGTGTGGCGAAGAGCAGGGCGAGTAGGGCGTTGAGGAGGACGTGAGGTGGCGTTGAAGTGAGGACAACGGGCAGTTTGAGGAGGGGGAGGGAGGATGCAAGACAAGACGGAGAGGGAGGAGGGAGGGAGGAGGAGGTCGGAGAGAGCAGATGCATGGAAGCACATATGCAATGATCGGCCACAAAGACAAGTCGGCCAGACGGGGAGCAATGTTCGGGCACGGATACAATAGTACGAACGCACGCAGCAGACACAGGGATCATACATTCTACGGGCAGTCACGCGATGACCAGATGCACATGCGACCAAACAGGATTGGCATGAGCAAACGCATCAGTCATCAGTCTTGCTGCGTCGACTCTTCGAAGCAGCCTCTCCAGTTGCGATGCCGATCACATCCGCCACCGCGCCTGTGAAAGCTTCGTAGGATTGTCGCAGCAAGGCGCGGTCGCGGCGGTTCACGGTTCTCGCGCTGCCTCGCATGGGGTTGGCGTGCAGCCTCCTTCGGGAGGTTGGGCGAGTTGGGGGGGGGGCGGGCTCCCGGACGTCGAGGGGCAGCCCCCCGGCCGTTTTCGGACAGTCGCTTGTCTTTCTGGAGCTTCCGTGGCCTGTGGGATGGCCCAGTGGATTGGCTGGTCGATTCTGTGGCCAGTTGGTCAGCTTCGTTGGCTGGATGGAAGGCTGGTTGGTTGGCTGGTCAGGTGTTTGGGCGGTTGTTTTGGGGGATTTCTTCCCACCCCCTTTGCGGCCGCCCCTTCTGCTCTCTTTCCCGCTCTTGCACGCTGGCCAATTCGCTTATCGGCGCCCCCGTTTAGCTCTTTCGTTGGTGCAGCCAACTCTGCCTCGCCGCCGACGGAGGAAGTGTTTGGGCGGTTGGTTGGCTGGGTAGTTGGTATGTCGGACGGTCGGTTGGTTGGTTGGTTGGCGGGTTGCTTGCTTGTTTGCCATGTTGTTTGGTTGGTGATTCAGTTGGTTGGCTGGTTGTTTGGTCGGCGCGGCAGATGAACTGAGAGGTGCAGGTTGCGCGGGTCGTTGCGAAGAAGTTGTTTCTCGCAGGCGGGAGGATCGCAAAGCCAGTTGCGTCGACCTGGTGCCAGAGGGGAGTGCAGGCAGTACCGACTGGGGTGTCGGAGGACCTCGTGGCGGCCTTGCGGAGGCCTCCAACTGATTTTTAGTGGCGTGTTGGTGGCGTCTTGTAGTTTCCAGGGGGCATGTTCAGGCTGTGTTTCCCACGGTCAGTTCGGTTTCCCTCTCTTGGGGGTTTGTTGCGTTGCGTCGGGGCGACATTAAAGGCTTAATGTGCCGCTCGAGGTATCCTCCAGTTCGAAAGCGCGAGGACGCTCAGATCATTGAACAACCTGCAGTACATGAGTGGATTTTGCCTGGAGGCTCTCTTGTGGGTCCTCTTGGGGCCATCATGGGGCATCCTCGGGGCCTCGCAGCTAGAGGCCATATTGGGTCGTCTTGGGGCGTATTTGGCCGTCGTGGAGCTATATTGGGGGTGCTGTGTGGCTATCTGACGCGGCTTAAAGGGCCTTCTGAAAGCACTGCAGGTTTACCGAAAGGGGTAATTGAGGGGCCACAGAACTCCAATTCCGTGTTTTTTGATGCAGGCCGCATCTTCGTTCAGGAATTCAGAACGCGCATGTGGATTCTACCTTCGGTGGAGGCACGTAGGGATTCATTCGCGCTCGCCCGGAAGCAACAGCAACACACCAAGCGATGGCACCGCATTCACACACACGCACACACACACACACACCAATCGCTGCAAGCGCGGTACAATCGACTCGCATGGTAAGGATGGGCAACCTTCCCACGGGCACCTTTGCATCCTTGCTTCTTCGCTCCATACTTAGCCACGTTCGTTTGCCGCGCCCAGATCGAAAAGCTTCGACATGGATGTCCAAGGCCCTTGCATCCTTATCGCGCATCCTTATGATACGGGTTGACTGAAGCGGAAGTGCCCCTCGGCAGTTTCGCGCCGTTTCGGTGTGGTGGCGACGCCAGCGCGGGCGTCCAGGGCTGAACACCCTCCAGGGGCTCGTCTCGAGCCCCAGAACATCGTCGTTTTCTCATTTGTTGTTTTGCCGATCGGCGCGGGCCCTCGCACCCCCCCTCCCCCCCCCATGTAGTAGTTCTTGGCTGTTTTGGGCGCCTGTTTCAAGCAGGTGGAGTCTCCCCCATAGGGCGCACTGCTGCAAACATTCGCATTCAGCCGAGGTCCGGAGCCGGATCCCCCTCCTTCCCCCACCCTTGCGCCCAATGTCGAACCGCCAAATAAGAAAACGTTGACAAACTAGCAGTGGCTCGCTACTCTTGACACGCGCCTCGATCCGAAGTCGACGTCGCTTTTCTTACGTCCCGCGCCATGGCGAGTCGTGCCGTGTTGCGTTGCGCTGTGGTTTTGGCGGCTTCTGAATTACCAGGGGAGCCAGTATGGCACCGTCGAGACAACATCCCTTCTAGGAACTTTGGCAACGGCCGCAAGCTCTTATCCATCAGTGGAAGGTGCTGCTGCACCTGCTGCGATCCGAAATCCTGCAACGACTCGGACTGGTGCAGCTCGGAGGAGAATTGCCTGCGGCCGCAGTCCCAAGGCGGCTGCAATTCGAATGTTGCTGGTGGAGCCACGCTGACCTAGTGCCCAGAGCAGGCGCAAGTGCAGTAGATGGCGAACTCTGCGCCTGGCAGGTGCTGCTTCAACGGCTGCGACGCGAACTCCTGCAACGACTCGGACTGGTGCAATACGAAGGAAAACTACTTGAAGACGCAAGCCCAGACAGGCTGCAATCCGAACACCACTGGTGGAGCAACGCCAGCCTGGTGCCAAACGCAGTCGAAAATGCTGCAGGTGTCGAGCTTCGCGTCGGGCAGGTGCTGCGTCAACGGTGGCGATACGAACTCCTGCATCGACCCGGAGTGGCGCAGCACAGATGAGAATTTTCTGGGGCCGCAAACCCATTGCGGCTGCAATTCGAACACCACTGGTGGAACCAAGCCAAATATGGTGCCCAGCGCAAGCGAAAGTGCTTCAGGTGTCGAGCCCTGCGTCGGGCAGGTGCTGCTTCATCGGTTGCGACGCGAATCCGTGCAGCGATGATGGAGTGGTGCAGCACGGAAGAAAACTGATTGAAACCGCATTCCCAGGGCGGCTGCAATTCGCACACCGCCGGTGGAGCCACGCCAACATGGTGCCCAGCGCGGGCGAAATTGATTCAGGCGTCGAGCTTTGCGTCTGGCAAGTGCTGGCCACAGGCTGCGACAAGAACTCCTGCAGCGATTCGGAGTTGTGCAGCACGGACGAGAGCTACGTGCAGACGCAAGCCCAGACAGGTCTGCAATTCGAACGCCACCAGTGGAGCCACACCGACCTGGTGTTCCAGCGGTTGGCATGTCGGTTCGTTCTGCATGGTTACGGGGCCCTGGCAATGCTGGGGCCCACGCGTGCACCCTGCTGATGCCGCGCTACACAGAAACTCAAAGTTTACAAGCGCAGCTGCTGCTGTGATACATCGCTCCCGAGGGACAGTCAGACTTCGGTCGCCCATCCGTGGCGGTAGAATTCGATATTGGCACTTTGTTACACCAAGAGTGCGCATCTCGTTCGTGCAGGGATCTGGTCGCTACTGCCCTGGCTGGCGCTCCGCCGAGCGGTGGAGGACGTCAGGGGTACAGACAGAAGAGACGACAATTTATGGCGCGATATCCATTTCGATGGTTGGGATCGGCAGATGCCGACATAGTGCGGGGTATACCGGGCTCGTGTGTCGGCTCCCCCGACCCAAATTCGATTCGAGTTCGAACAATTTCGATTCCGATGTTGTTCGACTTCGGATTTCGATCTGGATTCCGGTCTTATACAGGAGTCCTTGTAGCCTGCCGAGTTCCGCCGATTTGATGTCTCCCGACTTGGCTGCCGACTTTTGCCGGTCCGATCCATTTCGATCGCCGAGCCGATTTCTCGGTTCGATTTTGGGGTTATAAGCACACGTCGATATTTCACGCTCTACACTGCGGCGCGAGACGCGGGGTGATGATGTCCAGTTTGATGTGTTCTAAGTGGGGTTACCTTTGGCTTTCTACCCAGGTCCGCGTTGTTTATATCCTTTTACGGTTGATGCCTGCAGGTTCTGATGTTGCGTAATCGGTTGTGTTGTTTCTGATGGGTTCTGACGGTTGTTTGGTGCTGTTTGGCGTTTGTAGGCGTTTTCGTGGCACTATCGGGTTGGATGCGTTCCGTCTGCAGGTGTTTCCCCTGGTGTTCTACGGCGTTACCATAATTTGATATGTTCGGGGTGTTCTTGATGGCGTCTGGTGTCCATTTGCCTGTGGTAAGTTCCGCCACAGCGCCAGCCCAGCATTCTGGGTGGCAGCATTTCGATGCGGCAGGAGAAACCGTCCACCTCGCGTCTCCAATGTTGGGAGAGTTGTGATGAGGATGATGCTGATGGGGATGAGGATCGTGATGATGGTGATGATGAGGGTGATTGTGTTGGCGATTCGGATGATGGTGATGATGATGATGCTGCTGGTGATGATGATGGTACTGGTAATGATGCTGATGCTGATAATGATGCTTATTATGGTGATGATGGGAACTATCGTGTCGATGGTGGTGATGCTGATGGTGGGTATGTGAATGAGATTGACGGCAGTGTTGGTGATGGTGATGAGGATGATAATGCATATGAATGCGTGGAAGAGTGATGATAATGATGGTGAAGATCCGTATGATGGTGATGCGGATGATTATGTTGACGACGACGATGGTCGGAACGCGGCGACAGTTCGTTGGGCCGAATCGACAAGAGCAGTGAAGCGCATCGACTGGAGAAAAGCCGGCTGCGAGTTGCCCCGCCCAGCGATGGCGTTGTCAAGCTGAATTACCAGGACTGTCTCGGCGCCTAACAGGCTTGCATTGAGCAGCCATTGCAGTTGGGTTAGCAGGAGCTCAGGAGTTGGCTGGAGACTGGTATGTTCGAAGCGGGACAAGGGGAGACAAAATCATCGACGCCTCTCGTATACCCACCAGCCCATCCAGAACCTATCCTCAAGCGAGTTATCTTGAGCAGTGAAGCGCAACATCAGATAGTGCAGCAAAGAGGGTGGACAGCCGTGAAATCCTGATCGAGGCCGGGTGCCGGATGCCGAACCATATATGTTTGGGACTCTTCTTGAGGTGCTATCGGAGGTCTTAGAGGGGGTCGTGAGACCCGTCTGGGCCGCAATCTCAGAATGTCATTCAAAACCATTGCGGCTCCTTTCTTGCGAAGGCCTTACGGCCAGTGCCGCCGACGACCTTGAAAGGGGGACGACGCCAACGGCGGCGGCGGCGGCGGCGACAACGACGACGACGCTGGCGTGGGCCAGAGGGTTGAATAAAGGCCGCACCGTGGAGGCAAAAAGGTCATCTCCGACGATGGGACCCCCCTGGGGGGACTTCTGATGGACCGTCGAACCTCTCCCTCCTCTCTCTCCCTCAGTGGCGTGCGATCCTCCCTATTCCCCCTCATCATCATCGTCATCATCATCATCATCATCATCATCATCATCATCATCATCATCATCATCATCATCATCATCATCATCTTCATCATCATCATCATTAGCATTAGCATTAGCATCATCATCATCATTATCATTATTATAATCATCATCATCATCATCATCATCATCATCATCATCATCATCATCATCATCATCATCATCATCATCATCACATCATCATCATCATCATCATCATCATCATCATCATCATCATCATCATCATCATCATCATCATCATCATCATCATCATTAGCATCATTAGCATCATCATCATCATCATCCCTCTTCTCCTCTTCATCCTCCTTCTCCTCCTCCTCCTCCTCCTCCTCCTCCTCCTCCCCCTCCTACTCCTCCTACCCTACTCCTCCTCCTCCCCCTCCTCCTCCGCCTCCTCCTCCTCTTCCTCCTATTCCTCCTTCTCCTTCTCCTTCTCCCCCCCCTCCTCATCTTCCTCCTCTCCTCCTCCTCCTCCTCCTCCTCCTCCTCCTCCTATCACTCCTTCTGCTCCTCCCCTGCTCCTCCTCCTCTCCTCTTCATTCTCCTCGTCTCTCCTCCTCTTCCTCCTCCTCTCCTCCTCCTCCCCCCTTCCTCCTCCCCCTCCTCCTCCTCCTCCTCCTCCTCCTCCTCCTCCTCCTCCCCCGCCTTCTTCCCCTCCTCCCCCTCCTCTTCGTCCTACTCCTCTGTTCCTCCACCTCCCCATCTTTGTCCTCCTCTTCCCCTTCTCCTGCTCATCCTCCTCCCCCCCGTCCCTCCCTCGCGGAGGGAGGGGTTGGAGGAGGAGGAGGAGGAGGAGGAGGAGGAGGAGGAGGAGGAGGAGGAGGAGGAGAGAGAGGGAGGAGGACCATCACAGGCTATGGGGGAAGGCTAGGGTTAGGTCGACCCGACCCTAACCGAAACATTGAGGTTACATCCGATCCCCACTTAGGCACTCAGTCTGCCTGCCACGCCTCTCCTTTCTTGGAGTTGAGTGGCAGGGATTGGGAGGGAAAGTCGGGGGTGGGCCGACATGTTGCTCTTGGGGTGTCGGCCGCCAGCCAAAAGAGACCACGCACCTTGGGAGAACTTGCTTCGGAAGCGCTCACCCTTGCATTCAGTCCTGAGACCTCTGATATTCTTCTCTGCGTAGCGCCCGCATCGCTGGCACACTACAATGAAAGACTCGACATCAAGGTAATCGCAGATCATCAATGTGTGCTTCTGGGGGGTCCCGAAGTAGGCAAGACAAGGCAACATGATTACCTGGGCACGATTCAAACATGCGAGACTTCGGGTGCTATCCGTTCTAGCTCGGGTGTGGCAGGCCAGGCGCAGCCAGTGATTATTCAACCACGCCCACTGGTGTCTGGCGCCACTCTGCGGGTTACGGCACGCTCGAGCACGCCGAGGTTGATCCGCTGATGGGGGAAGGGGGACGGTCCATTGCTTGGCCGCCCCCACTGTCCCCACAAGGGGGGCTGAGGCTCTTGGAGGGCTTCTCGTAGGCCTTCTTACCCGACTTAGGGGCGGGAGGGGCCCAGAGGGAAAACGCCTCCGCAGCATACTTCACTAAACGCTGGATTCCACTGCCAGCGTCTTGATAACAGTCGATCTCCATCTGGGACGGGGCGGGGATTCGGGCGGCAGCTTGCTTGGCGACCTTGTCCACCCAGTCGTTACCCTTGGCAAGAAACCAGTCCCTCGAACCAGCCTCCAGGGTTTCTAGATCCTGGTGGGCCTTAACTTTTGCAATCTCGAGGGAGTTGAAACTGTTGTTGGCCCTGGTCCAAACTGAAACACCCGAATCCGCGTCCTTCCTGCAAGCCTCGGGGCTCTGGTGGTCCAAGAGGATGCCTTTGAAATCCGTCCACGCTGTCGTCACTCGGGGGCCCGACACAGCAGCGAGGAAGCGTAAGTGTTCGGCAGCGGGCGAAGTGGGGGGCAAGCTGGCCCCCACGGGGCTTGCGAGGCTGGCCACTAGGTCGCCCTCTTTGTCGGTTTTGACCGCGGACCAGGCGGGGGTATCGCAGACCGCGGGCCCAGGTTTTAACACGCTGCCATCATGGAGCGCTCCTCCGTCTATGGCCACCTGCTTGGGCTGACCATCGCGAGACCAATGCAAGGAGGAGGGGGAGGATCGAGCCCGCGCCGCCCGCAAGGGGGCGTAAGAGGCACACGCACACATATACATATATATATATACATATATATATACATATGAACACATAAATATCCCTCCGCGGTGCGGCCCCGGGCGCTGCCCCCTTCCACGGGTTCGGGGGGGCGCGGCCAAGAGGGGGGTGATGACCAGGAAGGGGCCGTGATTGGAGAGGGGGGTGATGACGAGGACGGGGGTGATGACTAAGGAGGGGGTTGATGGCTGGGTGATGAAACATCTCGGGAGATATCGTGGCGGGGGCCATGAGATCTCCCAAGATTTCATGGCGCTTCGCCTTATTTCGATTCGTCCCCACCTCCCCCCACCCTGGGCCGCACACGTGCCGCCTGCCATGATTTGCGCCCCCCCCTCATGGACGCCCCCCTCTTGGCCGCCCCCGAGGTTCGGGGGGGGGGAGAGGCGCTCGATCTGCGGCAGGCTCATGCGGCGCTGGAGCGCCGGCGAAGGCGCTCTTCTAGGCCTTCTGGATGGGGCCAGGGCAGGAGGGGTTGGAGGATCGCGCCGCATCGCCGATGCCTCGGCGATGCGTCTCGATATGGGGCCCGATTTTCTTCACGCCGACGTCGCCGATGCGTCGCCGACGTCGACGATGCATCGCCAGTGCATCGCCGATGCGTCGGCGATGCGAGGCAATCATCCGACCTCCTCTACTCCGACCCCATCGAGGAGGCCTTTGGGGGGGGCGCGCTCGATCTGCGGCAGGCCCGTGCGGCGTTCGAGCGCCAGCGACGCCTGCGAGGGCCTTCTAGGTCCAGGACGATCGAAACGGGTACGGAAAGAGTGGGTGCCAGGACCGACAGCAGATCCTGTTCATTTTGAACAGGGCTTACTGTCGCGGTTGCCGTGGACGTGGTTCGTTTGCCCAAAAGCGGCCGCTGTCGGTTTTGGATAGCATTTGTTGTTGAGCATTGTGCCTTTTTTTCCCGTGCCCATTTCTGGCGTTCAAACAGGTCGAGTTTTTCCGCGGCGAGCGAGGGGAAGAAGCGAGCAGGAGAAGGCCTTCTCAGAAGGCGGCGGGGCGAGAGGTTTGCTGTGTCTTCGGGGAAGGCTAAGGAAACTTCTCAGAGGGCCAGAGTACTTCAGGTCTTCTGGGAAGGCCCGCTTCTTCTCATTTCCCCCCCCGGATCGCCGCCAGATTCGGCCACGCGGAATCACTGAAGGACGCGGTAACGCTGCTGGATCCGACAGAATTCAACCTTGAGCAATCGGGCCTCAGGGTTGAACGATCGATACGGTGTCAAAATCTTGGCGCGAGCGGACGCCGCGCGAATCTCCAGTAGGCTTCCAGACGGAGACAGAGCTGATGGGGTCGGAGGATCGCGCCGCATAGCCAATGCATCGGCGATGCGGCTCCATGCGGAGCCTGATTTTCTTCACGCCGATGTCGCCGATGCATCGCCGACGTCCCCGATAAATCGCCGTTGCATCGCTGAAGCACCGCCGCTGCATCGGCGATGCGGCGCAATCCTCCAACCCGCCTACCCGGACCCCCTCTGGGAGGCCCTTGCTCGAGGACCCGCGAGGGTGATGGGGCTTAGCTCTAGGGAGTTGGCCGTTTTCTGTTCGCGAGAGGGCGTCGCGGCGGTCATTTTTGCGGGTCTAGGTCTAGGTCCGTCGGGTTCGGTCCCAGGACGTTTTCTTTAAGGGGAGGTTTGCTAAAGGGGGGTCTGTCCATCCCCGACAGAGGAGGAAGAGGTGCCGATGCCCCCCGCGCCGTCACCGCTGGCTTCGCCCCGAGATTCCAGCCCAACGCGCCCGGCCTGGGAGAGGTCCAGGGAGTAGCGTTATGTCCGGCGTGTCCCCCTACAGGGGTATTTTCGACGAAAAATATGAAATACTAGAATATTCCAAAGAGGTAAAAAAATACTCAAAAAATAGTCCCCAGACTATTCTTAAACTTTTTTTTTTTTTCGTCGAAAATCCCGATGTAGGGGGACAGGCCCGACTTAGGAGTAGCGGTCCCACACCCCCGACGTCATGATTTTTTCATAACGCCGACCCTTCGAGGTCTCGACCCATTCCCCTGGACAGGCTTTTCATCCTGAGTCGGTCTCCGACGGTCCCGAGGGCCGGTGAGGCCCTCCAGGAACCGAGAATACCGAACAACCTCCCATTCTGATTTGTTCGTTGCCCGAGGGGGTCTGGGGCATCGGTACCCTCATGGCTTCCCCACAGACATGGGAGGGGTGCG